TGTAAAGGTCCGATGGAGTGCCAAGCGAGGACCTGAGTACACCTGGGAACGTGAACACCAAATGATGCAGAAGTACCCATGTCTTTTCCCTAGCTCTTGAAGTCTACTTTAGAACAAATTTCGGGACGAAATTCCCTCTAACGGGGGGATGATGTCACAACTAGCAAATTTTAGGGTTGAGATGGCGATTCATGTACAAAAATTTCCTCTATGTAACATTGCATCATCAAATAAGTGAAATTCAAACTACAATGTTATTTGAATTCATACGAGCGTACATTTAGAATTAAGCTGAAGTAGCCTCATGCAATGTCACACCCCAAAACCGGAACGGCGGAAACGTTCGGGGGTGGAGGACGTCATGTTTAGTATCACAATACATGTATCATAGTAAGCAAGTATGAACAACCATTTCATTAGAAAGAATGTTTACAAAGTATGGTGTTCACAAAAACATATACATAAGCAAATAACAAAACAAGACTTGAAGCTATTATGCCCATCTTCTGAATTCCCAGCGCGAGTACCTGTCTACTAGTCTCCTGAGAATACAAGTTATTTGAAAGAGTTGATCAGCAATTAAGCGGTGATTTCATAAGATTTAGTGATGTAAGTATTGTAGAAAGTTGTTGAAAATGTAGTTGAAATGTAGTAAGTTGTAAGTTCGTTTTAGAAAAGTTTGCCTGTTCCTCTAGAAAATCCTATATTTCCTACTTTGATGAAAGATACGTAAAAATGATTCTACAATCCTTTCTATGAGTACTAAATGGATACAAGTTATATAAAACTCAGAGTAAACAAACAATCGACTGTGCGCATCTGCCCTAAGCCCACAACCAAACAAGGAACAGGAAGTAAGGCGGATAGCACACATCCCATTGTTTGTTAGGTCATTGTTGTATATAACCCTGGCGTATGCATTTGTTACTCATGGAGTTAATTGTATTAGCTACTTTATATCTAATGAAAAGATTCTTTAAGAAAACCCTTATTTCTTATAATAAAATGGTAACCATAGTGATTACTTCTATAGTCACTTAGTTTATACTGGCTATATATGATCTAATATCGAATAGATAGTTAATTGGGTGAATCTGCCCTAAGCCCACAACCAAACAAGGAACAGGAAGTAAGGCGGAAAGCACACATCCAACTACCTTTTGGGTATTAATGATATATAACCATGATGTATAAACTAAGGTAATATAGAGTTAATCAACTAAGGTCCTTTAAGTTTTACTGGTTTAATAAAATGGAGTAAACCCTTTAATGGGAAGTTTCTAGTTTTGTATACCAAAAGTTCTGATTTGGAAAGTATGTTTTGTACTAGAAAACTGTGCATTGACTTTGTGTCCTATGACTTGACCCATACCTGGTATCCGTATGATGACTTAATGTATACTGAACATATATATTATATATATAGATAATATATATATATCTATATATATATATATATATATATATATATATATATATATATATATAATCGAATAGAATAATAGACTGGGTGAATCTGTTCCAAGCCCACAACAAAACAAGGAACAGGAAGTGAAGCGGGGAGCACACATCCTATTATCTGTCGGATCCTATTGTTAAATATATATCCATTGATGTATACATTAAGGAATCATAAGGTTAGCATTATGGTCCCTTTCTACTGAATGTACTAGACTCGACTGTTCTGTTTGCCGCTTGTAAAAATGAAAGTTTTCCCTAGTTTATAACTATCTTAACTCGAAAATAGTTTGTATTGACTTTCAAGTGGTACTGTCACTTTATGAAAGTAATGGGAAATGTAAGTACATAGTTGTCGTTTAAAATGACATACGGATGTACTGATGACCTTAAAACATGTTTGTTTTATACTGGTCATAATGTGAAGGCTAGTACCCTTACTATACGCTCTCCCTGTCTAGAGATTAAGGGAACCAAACGCGACTTTTTAGCAAACCAGTTGCTACGCCGTGTAATTCACATTAGAGTTATATGATCATGTATACCCAATATAACTATCACCTTTTGTTTAGAACAATAAGTTAGTGATTCATTGGTATAATTAGATCCTGTAGTAGTTCCATGCTATAGCAACTTAATATGTTTGTTCTATTTCTCATATAGTATGTTCTGTTTCTCATATAGTATGTTCGTTCTGTTATCGCGTATTGTATCTAGTATGAACTGAATCTCTTAACTATACCTATTATAGTTTACTAATGTTTTACTTGAACTGTTATTGAAAAGACTCATTTATCTACTAAGTTATGCTTGTACTTTAAAAACGGAGTTTTGTTAAACTATGAAGTAACATAACTTTAAAAGAGTTTTTGAAATGTTTTGATCATTTATAAAAGACATAAGCAATCTTTTGAAAGATGTATATATAACAAACATTTACACAATGATCATTGTGTTCAACTTGTATTCCCCCCCCCCCCTTAATGCATTTAAAATAGTTAAAAGATTCATTACGGGGTATGAACTCACCTGATGTGGGTGATTCAAGCGAATATGTGTGTAAGGATGAGAAGTTCCACGAATGAAGTCCCGATATACAACAAGTCCTAAATGACATATATTGGCATGAATATAGTGTTTATAAGAAACTATATGAAAGGAAACACCTTCCGGGACTAGGAAACACTTGGAATGAAGTGTTGAATCACATGTGATTGACCTAAAGGGTGCTTATGGCCATGTGTTTACGGCCAAGGGAGTTTACGGTCGTAAAATCATGGTAAAAGGTGCATGAGAAGTGTTTCAAGGTCTTATAAGGCACAAGGGGAGTGTTCTAGCCTCAATTCCAAGCCTTAGGAAGAGTTTAAGGCTCATATGCCACCTTTATAGGGGTTTACGGCCATAGGAGATGGCTTGGCCGTAAACTCCTTTTTTTCTTGCATTTTTGATGATTTCAAGGTTCTAAGCATGAGTCTTAACTAGATATCAAGTATAGGGAAGAGTACTTACGATATAGAGGCTTGAAATGGTGATTAAGGTCCAAGAACACTAGTGTGTGTTCTTGGTGTTCATGGTGTTTCTTGAAGATCTAAGAAGAGATGATTTCCATGGATGAAATCATTAGATGATACTAGATTAAGAGATGTATCAACAAATCAAGGAAGAATACTTACAACTTTCGATGATCTAGGGTGAAAATCGGGATGATACTTGAGAGAGAAATCAAGTGTTCTTGAGGTGGAATGAGGTAATTAATGAAAAGTGAAGGATATGAGTCTTTAAGGGGGAGTTTACGGCCCACCTTGAGTTTACGCCCGTAAACTCAAGTGTTGTGGCCGTGAACTCTAAATGAAGAGGTTAAAGCTTGATTTGTTGAACAGTGTCTCTAGCAGGTACATTCTAACACTCATTCCTTAACTGTACTAGGCTTAAAACTCCTTAGAATGACCATTAACCAGGCTAGAACTCATTACCAATGAGTCTGACACTCAGTTGAGTTGACTGACTAATCTTTCAAAGCAAAAAAATTTCGGGTTGTCACATGCAAGCCCAAAACTTGATCCAATAGCTAAGTCCGATCAACTTTGGGCATTGGCCCAAGAATTCTCGACCCAACACCCTATTGGACCAAAAAATCTTCCTTGGGCCTTATTGGGCCGAAAACTTTTCTTTGGGCCTTATTGGGCTGATAACCCTTTTATTGGACCCAATTAAACCCAAAAAGCCCATTCATACTCCAAAACGAAAACCCTTTTACTTTTAGGCTTTAATAGACCGAAAACCTCTTAATGAGCCAATCCAAAACTCGAAAGCCCATGAATTTAGCCAATTATAGCCGAAAACCATATAAGGTTCGGTTAGGGAATGAGCAAAACAAAAATACCAAAAGGGTGACACCTCATTATTATCCCACAAACCTCCAAGTAATTAGCCATCATGTATCTAAGCTCATGTACTGTGAACCTCCATATATCTAAGCTAAAGAAAAAGTCAACCAATCTCCCCCCCCCCTCATATGAGTGAGAGATCGGCCGAACCCTCCTCCTCACCCACACAAAGATCATTTTCACTCAAGTTTACTCTCAAATTGCCTCTCACTTCCACTCCAAATTTTCGTGTGCTACTTACAAAAGAACATACATCTTCAAGGTGGTCCATAGAATATGGTAAGTTTTCTTGTAAACTCCAAGTATTCTTACATCTCTTCAAGCTAAAACTCATGTTTACACACCATTTTCGTGTGTAGTCACTTAGAACATCACCCATTTTCGAGTGACCTTCAAGCTACACAAAGCTAGGCTTAACAACTTCTTTCTTCTTCTTCCTATCACACGAAAAATACAAAGGTGAGCTTCATAACCCCATCTTTTCGTGTTTTTCATACTTTTCGGGGGGAGAATACAAGTCAAGTCTCGTTTAACCTTTGGATAATTGCATGCATCATAATCATGGTTTGAAAATGGAACAAGTTCTTAAATAAAAAGGTTCGTAACATGTGATAAAATCATAAACTATATGTTAATAACATCTTTGTGTTATAAAAGTTTTGTGGTCATGATTGTACACTCAAAATGGCGAAAATATGGGTGTTATGCCCAAACATGTTTAACTATTGGACATATCACAACTAGAAAACAGCCCTTTAATGACGCGCAAATAATGACACGCGCTGATAGAGGACACGCATTTGTACGTGCCCTAAAAAATAATGTCAGTTTTGCAAAATTTGAAGGATAGAGGACACGCATTTGTGTGTGCCCTAAAATTAGTGTCCAATAAAAAAAATTAAAAACACGGAGGGCAACTATCCTAAAAAGCATGTCGTGTTACCGTGTCGCTTTATAATTTTAGTCTATGAGCGCACGTTTTCGTTTTTTAATAGCCAGGGGGTAAATGAAATCCAAAAGATTAAAAACCCCGCCTGGTGTGTCTCCTCCTTCCACAGGAACGCTCACCTCACATCATTCCATAGAAACGCTCACCTCGATCAGAGTCACCACCATCTCTCTCTCCCTCTCTCTCTCTCTCTACAGTTCCCCTCCATGATACAAACCACCACTATCTTGCACCACCACCATGGTCGTCGCACCTACATCTCACCACCTGCAACCACAACACAATCGACCACCACCACCATTCCTACCATCCATCGCCGCCCTACCATCTTCTACATCACCACCTTTTTCCTGTTCCATGTGAAACCCTAAAATCGGTACCAACAACTAATAGGGTTTGGAGAAAAAGTTGATCTAAGAAAAATCAAAGCAAACGACTTAGAAGATGCTACCATATGCTCGTACAAATCTGCTCAGGTAGGTTATTTACTAAATTTTTTCTTTAATTCTAAAAATATTTCCTTCGATTCTAACCCTAGTTCGTTCTCCCCCCTTTTCCTTCGCAAACACACATGGATTATGAGTTCCTTATCTGTTCCTATGGGGTTCACGAAGCGTGGTTTATACATCTAGGGTTTCTGAATTTCGAGTATTATGCCATAGGTTGACTCCTTTCGAGAAGAACTTCTACGTGGAGTCTCTAGCTATTCCTAAAATTTCTGAAAGCGAGGTAGAAGAATACAGGACACAAAGAGAAATCATTGTTGAAGGTCGTGAACCTTTCTAGCATGGGAAAGGGTCAAGCTTGGGTCAACGGGCAGAGCATAGGACGATACTGGTCTACTTACCTTTCACCATCAACATGGTGTACAAATAATTGTGACTATAGAGGAACTTATAATGCATAAAAATTTCAGAAGAAATATGGTCAACCAGCTCAAATATGGTCTGATTCCATTTCTCAAAGCCCTCAACTACGATTGACATGTGATCAAGGCTGGAAAATTTCATATGTTGGTTTCGCTAGCTTTGGGAATCCCAAAGAGGATTGTGGTGCTGGATTTACTCAAGGAAGTTGTCATATAAACGTCATATCAATTGTTGAACTGGTACCACAATCCTTATTTTTCTATTTGTCTATCTTTGTTTCTTTATTTACATATTGTGTGATTATATTAAGATTGTTCGGACCTGCTTGGAAAAAGTTGATCCAGTTTTATTTGTAGAAACCCATGTTACACACTGTTGAGATTAGTTGGCTAGAATAAAAGAAAATGTAGAGCAGGTTCCATGCCTACGAGAATAAAAAGGAGTGCAAGATTTTTATTACCAAAATACATTTCAAGTATTTCTTCTCTCATTTTAGTGTGCAGAAAGGTGTAGAGTTTAGTATGTATGATGTATGATCGTAACAGTTGTTCATAAACTAATGTTTGATGAACAATGCATGTTTGTATCAGAAAGCAAAAATGTTGGGTTCATGTTTCAACAGTATGATTCTGCAGGTATGGAAATGTAAGTTCTACATTTTCTTTAAAATTATATGTAATATGAAATCAAATTTTGACTAGGATTGGTTTGCCAACGAGAGCCAACTTTGAATATTATACCATTATAATGCCTCATTGGACAATTGACATAGTTACTTTTCGCCTGGAGAGAGTGTTTTTAGGATATTGGTTCCTGCATAAAAAGTGGGAAGTATTATTAGACGAAAAGGCGAATTCATCAAGAAAATATATGTGAGGAGATAGGGGCCCGCATCAAGATTCTTGATGCTCCACCAGGAATAACAACAGAAAGAGCTGTAAGTTTCTTTTCCATAAGACCATAACTATTTCTTGTAGAAATGTTAGGCGTTGATGATGTGTATGTAACTGATTGAGCTTGTTATATAAAAAGGTGATGATATCTGGAAAGGAAGAACCTGATGCTTCTCTTCCCCCTGCTGTAGATGGTCTTCTTATGGTTCATAAATGAACTAGGCATACAAGTGATGGATTCGAAAAAAATTGTTATCTGTTATTGAAATTCATCCAATGTCCATGTCCTTATCCTGCTCCCATCACACCTGAATATAATAAAATTATATATGCAGGTATTCTGAATTATTGACCTACTTTCTTTTGCAGGTTGTGACCCTCATAATTCTTATGGTGAATACTCTCTTTCCTAGTTTATATGAAGGGGCAGGTTCAGCTCTACTAGAAAAGCCATGTTTTAGGGTAGTTATCTTTATCTTGAACATCAGCTATGTCATGAATACATTCAAAACCCTCCAATATGATAAAATGTTGATGTATTTTCATTGTTGGTGAGGCTAATTTCCTTTTTGTTATCTTGATTTAGGGACTTACGAGACAACCTTGTTGTCTTGTCTGGAATGCTTGTCACATATCTCAATGTGTTGGTATGTATTTTATTACATTATCATGAATTCATGACTAGTTCTCTAATTTCCATTGTTCGCCCAAGATATGAAAAAGATGGCCATTGTGTTATGAGTTTGAAAAATAACTTCTAAATTTTCTAAAGTTAACATCAGGTAGAAAACGTTTTGTTGGAGGCATTGCTTGGGAGACTTCAGAAGGTATGTTAATGCAGCTTAATTTCTTGATGATACTCTTCTTTAGTGTATCATGTTGACATGTTTATGTCATATAATTCTTCCTTTAATAACTGAAGAATTTTATCCATAACTAATCAATCTATGTTCTGTTTCTCATATCCAGAATCCTTTAGCAGTAACTTCAGCTATTATGGGGAACTTACAGATTCTGTGATAATGATGGATAAAATAACTGGGATACCACATGGATTTGGGTTTGTAAGATTTGTTGAACCTGTTGATACAGATAAAGTCTTGGAGCAAGATCATGTCATAGATGGCAGACCAGTAACATACCTTTTCATGATTATATTATATGAAATGACATATACTAGGGTCACAAAATGGGTAAATTTTAGGGTCAAGTTGGGCTGACCCACCATCACCTTTTTGTCCATTTAGCTTGTTTTATCTTTAGCTAAGTGATTACATTATATCCATTTGGAGATAAAATATATCCCAAACTGATCCATTATTGGGTAAATTGATTGAAATTGCTATATCTAATTTGTATTTAGAACATACTTCCTTTGCTTTTTTGATGTGTTCTTGAATTAGGTTGAAGTGAAGAGGACAGTTCCAAGAGAGGATATGATGGGTAGCAGAGGTGTATCAAGAACAAAGAAAATATTTGTTGGTGTTATACCATTTTCTTTTCGTGTTTTATTAAAAGTAAGTATGTCCCCTTGTTCACTTTCACTTTTATATTTTGTATTTGATTATTTTTGGTTTATATTAAGTTAACTGAAGCAGTATAATATAATAGAATAGAAAGTGTTGCTTTTTTTTTTGGGAAAGTAGCACTATTTCACTCTTTCATATTAACTTTTATAATCTACATGTGTATTAAATTTTAATATTTTATACAGATATGGGCTGTATTGAATCTTGGATTCTTGGAAAAAGGTATGTTACTACATGTGTATTAAATTTTAATATTTTATAACATAGATTGATGATGCTTGAAGCCTTTCTGAATACTAATGTGTTGATGATGAAAACATGTATCATGTGGAAACAGAAACATAACAATAAGAAGTAGAAACATGAAGGTGTTCCTTAATAGCAATGTAGTATTAGGTTATATAGTTAGGGAAAACCTCTTAATAACAATGTACAATCAGATCCCCTTAATACCAATGTATTACAATTTTTTGACATGATGTTATGGATGAAATTGATTGTTTTCGTATATATTTGTTTCCATATTTTTGTATTATGCGTAAATGAGTATCATAAAGACGCGTCGTAAATGTATATCGTAAATGGTTGCTGAAGTTTCTGACACGCAAATGCGTGTCACCTTCATTTATGACATGGGATTTAATGATACTCAATGAATGTCCTAAACGTGTGTCATAAGGTTACGAAACGCAAATGCGTGTCGTCTTCCTTTATGACAGGGGCTTCCTTGATACGCATTGTGCGTCGTAAATTCTTGTCATAAATGCACGTCGTCTATAGACGACGCACAAAAGCGTGTCGTCTCTTGTTATGACAGGGCTTTCCTTGACACACATTTGTGCGTCGTCTGAGCCTTTTACGACATGCATTGCGCGTCGTTAAAGGCTGTTTTTCTAGTAGTGTATGCATTTTGACTCTTATATTTTACACAAATATTTGAAGATAATAGATCTAAAGGTTATTATATGTGTTTTGTAAAAATCGTGACTTATTAGAGTCAAAACAAAAATAAAATATTTTGTGTTACAAAACTTACAAACCGATTATGATGTGTTAAACAAACCACAAGGCTTGATATTTTGCTAAAAATAAGTTTATTAGTAAAATAGTCGTAACTATGTTGTCACTATTTTGATGGCTCAAAACCTAAGATATTATGCTATTTTCACAACATATGTTACAATTATACATGTTCACTAATGATTATTTATAAAAGGTATTATAAAAAATTTAACCAAAATGGTATACAAAACAGAATTTACGACAGAACATTTTGCGTGTCATAATCTGCCTATCATAAAGCTTTTAAAGCATGAGTAATAAGCTGTATGTCATAACGCTGTATAACGCGTGTCATAAAACTTCAGTCATAAATTCACACTAGTAATGTCATTTTCATTATTCAATAATAGGAGTCAAAGTACGCGTAAATCCGTTAAGGCTCTAGTGAGACACCGTCTTCACCGTACCTACCTAGTGTACATTCTAAGTCCTGCATTATAACCAGAGTCTCCTAGAGGGAGAGCTGTTCGCTACAGCTAGACGGGGCCAGTCTAGTGTGACACATATCTTACCTATTCCGACGCCGGAAGAACGTCGTCCAGGCATAATAGTCACATCAAGCATGGTTATGATAACTCACTTAGGGATTAACAATACTATCTTGATTTACAGGAAGCTTATACTTCACCGGTTTTATAAAATAAGACTGCATTTTTCCTCTCGATACACTATTGTTTCCACTACTGGTCTAGGGTTTAAGGCCATAGTTTTTCATACAACATAAAATATTGGATTTTCTGGGAACATACACTTTACAATTACAAATAAAAGAAACAAAGGACATGCATGCATATATTCACAGTTTCGGAGCGAGACTTACAAACCATTTTTCATAGAAAATATCGGATTTTCTGGAGTCTTACAAATTATTACAAACAAATATGTTACAAATCTTTTCATACAAATATGCTTATGGACTCACCAACATTCAATGTTGACGATTTTCAAAATGACTTGTATTCTCAGGGAACCAGTAAGCAGGTACCTAAGAACCGGATTTACTGCATTTTGGAATTTCATATGTTATGCCACTTTTGTGTAATTGATGAACAAATACAATATGTAAACAATGTATGTTAGTATCTCTTAATGTATGATGTTTGGTTGCTATGGTTTATTCATATTCAATTGTTATGATACTATACAATGACGTCATCCTCCCTTGGAGGTTTCCGTCGTCCTGGTTCGGGGGTGTGACACACAAACACCAAAAGCAAAAGGAGGCTTATGAGAGGTTATGAAGTACCAAAATTGGCTAGGGTTTCACCTTGGAATAGCTTGGCCGATTTTAGGGTGCTTAGGGGTTACTTTTATAGTGTGGAATTCCTAGGGTTTTAACTTGTAAACCCTAATTCACCATGGACTCTTCACATTTGTTAGGCCCTTTGGACTAAACCTTCATGGAGTCTCATATAGATTTAGTACATCCCTAATCAACATGGATCATCACCCCAAACTATAAGTATTACTGATTTACCTAATCAATCCCCGTAAAATTTAATCAGTCTCTTTTGATCACTAAATTAATTCCAAATTAATTCCTGATCAATACCAATTAAATAATATGATTTCTCAATTAATATATTATTATTATAATATATTAATAAATCACAAATAAACTCTTTCTCAAATATCCATCCTATCAAATTGCTCTGGTGAAGGCAACCCAAAAGGACCATGCTACTATCGGGTCAAGCACATACCAATTATAGTTATCGGCTTAGACACCTAATCCAACAGGTTTTCCTAGGAATCGTTTCATAGTAAGCAGGTCGCGGGAGTGGTTACCTTCATGTTTTGATAGACGGTTATTCGTTCTTTGTCATTTGTTAATGTCGCTCGAAGATGTTGGAAGTAATATAAGTGGAAGGTGCTTGGAGATATCGAGTTTCGTTGAGATGTTGGGGTGTTGGGGTGTATTCATCAGTTTTTGGATTGTGTGTACGCTAGGTCTTCTGGTCATGAAAGTTCACTTCTTGTAAGCTCAGGTTGGTGCCAGTCTCGAGTAGTGAATTTGTAGATGGCTTGGGATTTCGAACGGTTGTAAGGTTGAAAGTGTGTATATGTTTCCAAGTGGGGGAGAACGCTAGGGATTAATGGGAATACCTCCAAGTACAAGTCAAATCAAAGTTTCCTATCCAAGGTCAATTGGATAGCCAATTTTGTTTGTGATTTGAGCTGAGAATTTTTCATGGGTTAATGTCAGTGGTTAGTTTTAATCATGAAAGTAAGGGTTAAAGATTCATAGTTATCTCGTGGAGGACAAGAAGCAGTGACTGTGACGCATCAGTAGTGGCACATAGCGGGTATATGACTAGGTTCAGGTTGAGCGTTGTGTTAGAGCCTCTCGGCCTGTTCGTATCTGATTAAGGCTTTGGGGTTTGAAGCATAACCTAAACACCTTATTGAGGTATAGTCAGATGAGTTTTTGACTCACAATTGATTATGGTATGGTAGATGGATGGAAAGGCCATGGGTTAGGTTGATAGGCTGTTGTGGAAGTGTTGTAAGACTACGGGGTAGCCGTATAATTCGCTAGGTTGATGGGTTGTTGTGGAAGTGTTGTAAGACTACGGAGTAGCCATAGCATTCACCAGGTTGATGGGTTTTTATGGAAGTGTTGTAAGACTACGTGGTAGTTATAGCATTCACCAGTTTGATAGGTTATTATGGAAGTGCTGTAAGACTACGGGGTAGCCGTAGCATTCACTAGGTTGACAAGTAGTGGTAGTAGTGTTATAAGACTATAGGGTAGCCGTAGCATTCACCTGGACAATGAGCAGTTGTGAGGGTGTTGTGAATCTACGATTTGTCTTATAGTTTTCTCAAGGTAGGATTAGACCTTGGCAGGATAGGTTGTGAGACTGTGGAAGGTGGAAGGACCACATCATTTAAGGGATCGAGGAAGGATGTAGGCCGATTTGGGACTGGTCGTGATGTAATACTATAGCTGGGCTGGTAGCATTCACCTAGAGCAAATTCGATTATCTTACATACGCGTGGTCATTGGCTATGTGTCCTTGATTGGACCAGGAGGGTTGTAAGATCCATATTGGCATTCGTGTTAGGATAGCTTTTGTCAGGGAGACTCTTGGTCGAAATCTCGTGTTGCGGGCACATGTGGGAGGCTATTAGATACAGTAATCTGTTGGAAATCTGATATTTCGGTTAATTGGTAGGTAAGTACGAGGCTTGAGAGATATCGGTTAGATCGGAAATGTGATTATTAATCATCAAGATGAGACTGAAACATTGGTATGACGCCAATGATTGAGACTTGTGTTGGGAGTCACCTTGTTTTCGAGTGAAGGGGTCAGTAGGAATGGATGGTCAGGAATTATGTTTTCAAGTAGTCAACAAGATAATTTAGGGTCGGAAAGGTTTCGTTCGGGTTGCGATTTGGAGTCATATTGATTGTGTTTCAGAATGGTTTTGTCTGTCAATAAGTCAGACAAGGTTTTGGGTTTCCGGATTTCAGGGAGAGCAGTGGTGGTTATCCTTTAACTTGTTAAAGTTAGTGGGTCAAGATTTCATTATTTGACAGGGTATGGGAGTTCCACTAAGTATGGGTCTTGATTGTAGTATTGACAGGCCGTCCTATGTAAGAGTCGACTTTTTTTTTAAATCAGGGTTTTAGAAAAATTGACCGAATCGTCTGGGGTGCCTGGAATGTAGTAAGAAGTGATTTTGAGGACGAAATCGAATATAAGTGGGGGAGATTTGTAACACCCGTGCTCCATATTGGTTAAGCTTATTTCTATAAGTACAAAAGATGGAGTTTTGGAGGAAATCTGTGCCATGACGTGGGGCAAGGATGCCCACAATGTGGCAATAATTTAAATGATCGCATGTTTTACTGGACTGCCACGGCGTGGCCAAGGAAGGCCATGGTGTGGCAGATGTTATGGCCCAAGCCCATGATCTTTTAGGATTTCCTTCATATTTAAGCCTCCGTAAACCATTTCTTGGGTTCATTTCTAGCCTGTAACCCCCTTATACCTCAGAGAAACCCTAGCCCCCATTCCATGGGGATTTGTGGCCTTTTGGGAGAATTTGATAGCTTGGATAAGAATAGAAGAAAGGAAGAAGGTGCTCTATTATTGGATATTGCAAGGAAGCAACACCATCATCATCTTACATAGCTTCTGGACCTTTGTAAGTGTCAAAGGCTCAATCTTTTTGT